GTAGAATAGAAGATGAATGTCGAAAAAGCTCATTAAATATTTACAAACACTCAAGCAAATCATAATAAACCTATATTTTCACACTCTAAAAGTAGACAGACATCTCACATTGATGAGTAAATATGTACTAAGCAGTAACAGGTGCACCCAAAAATATGCAAAGCTTATTGCAGTGGCATTGATAAGAGGCTTAAAAAAGCAAAAATGTTTGGTTGCGAAATGAAATGGGTACTATTTTGTTAAGAATGGAAGGAAGGAGTACATAGAACAGAACGTGTAGATGAAACCGAAAACGGTGAGCAAGAGAAAGCAAGAGGGTATGTTAGGGTTATGATAAAAGTATATAGAACATTGTCTGTAAAACTCGACAGTGGCGTAACACATGTTCGTATATGAACAGTTCACGGTTTTGGAAGAGAATTTTGTTTATAACTTTTGAGGTCTCCAGTGAAGTCGTCCAAATAAAGCTTTTGAAATGGTTAGAGCGCCTACCGAAAATTACATCGAACCACTACAGTATCTGTAGTAAGTGTAAGACCGCAATGGATCTCTTGAAATCAGTTCTACTTGTAGTACAACATCTAAAAGGTCAACGACTTGATGCATTATTATATTCACTGCTGAACTGAACTTAGATGGTCCAATAGATGACATTTGTTTGGATAAAACCCGTGGTTCATTGGCAAGCCTGCTCCAAAGCTCCATAAGAATGTTTATGGTTACACATTTATAGGCTGCTTTTCTTTAGATCCAAAGTCGCATATGAGCTACCTGCAAATCTTCCGGGTTCCTTTCGATAGCTAGTTGGAAAAAAAGAATGATCGCGTTTATAAAAAGCGGTTACTATATTGACAGTGTGCGTTGCAAGTGCAAAAAAAGCATAAAACCCTCCACCATTAATTGGCGGAATTCATTTCACCGAGTTTCAAGCTCAGCTGCTTTTCTTTTGACTTTATACTGTCGAACTTATTTTATTACGAATCAACTCTACTACCATAATGAGTTAAACTTTCAGTAGTACGCTTATCTTTCACGCTTGGTCATACTAAATTCCCGAGCTACAATACTTGAATGTCAACTTTGAGTTTAGGTCCACATTCCCACAAGATGTGGGTGAACTCTTGCGGTCTAACTCTTGTATAGACATTACTAAAGCGTCCAACGAACTCCAACGATTTTCAGCAGTGCGTCCGTCTATATAAACAACTTAACTGATACGCCGCTCTCATCTAAACTGTAAATAGCTGAGTTTGTGACGCAGTAACCCAGTTTATATGTAAATTAGATTTCCAAGAGGAAACTACAACTCATGCGACAAACAATAAAAAATAATTGCTATCAAAAGTGAGCCAAAAAACTGGCACACAAGTAAACAACACTAACCTCACAAACAGAATGGAGACGCTGAAAGGTGAAACGAAGAAATCTATGTTGTGAGTGCATAGATACACACACAAACAAGATATTGGGGACAACATTTTAAGTGGCATATTCAAGCAGCAAACGTCAAGTGTGGGGCGGATGGGCGTTGACAGAAAATCAGAAATTGAGCCTCAAAGCATGAAACGCAACGCTTTCCAGCTTGTGTCGCCAACAAAACAAAATTCGTTGCTAGACATATACGAAAATGCTAATACACTTCGTTTTCAAAATTCTAATAGCATTGAAATCGTGAGCTACTCAATGAACTTCAATGGCATTTCCGGCACTTGTATATTGTCCGCTGTTTGTGTTAGCGCGCTAAAGCGCCATTAACCTGCTCATAAAGGAAATGTCTTTTGCTTCCTTTTTCAGATTTTTTTTTTCGGTCCGCATTTTTTCTGTTCTCCTCAAATTCCGTCAATTAATCACAGTCGTGTTTCGTCTGCGCTGGGCGTCTGCTTTTACCAGTCTTTCGAAATCGCTGACTCGCGCACTAGCCAGCTAGCGTTCCACTATTAAACGTCTGCCTGCTGCGGCGTCCGCCCAACAGCCATAACAGTCTACTTACTAGCAGTATTCTAATATTCTTTGAGGCCACTCCCAGTAACATTTGCAGCCAGCTTGGCTCCGCTAGCGCGCATGAAAACACTTGTCTCGACTACGCTTTGTTGTCCAGCCAGTCGTTAGCCTATTTAGCTATTTCGCTGTTTGTCGTTTTAAAGCTCACAACCACTCAATATGTGCAATCATTTTACGCTGTTTCTACCTTTTAATCGCTTGCTGCGACTCGTTGCCGTATCGGCTCACCCACACCCAGCTCCACTTGAGTTTTCTTCTACCAAAAAAAAAAAAAACGCCTTAAGTGGCTGACTGTATGTGCTTTCAAGTGCACGACCACCTCTAGTCTGCTATTTCTCTCAACTCCGTCCTAAATACGGTTTTCTTTCTAGTTTAGCCTACACACCGTTATTCTAACTTCGCCATGCAGGTGTGTTAGTGTGTATGTGCTATTTTCTGCTGTCTCTGACATGTCTATCGTTGTTGTTACTGCAGTGCCCTTTGTAGGTGTGTCATCTCAATGTTTTTAAGTGCATTTGGCTGTCAATGGCTGTGACGCACGCCATATAGCATATGGCATTTACATACATACAGACATATATAGAATACATGCATATGCATATTAACTTTAAACGTTTTCTGTTTTTCGTCTTTTACTTGAATTTAAGTAAATTTCAAAGGGTCTACAACAATATTTAGTCATCAGAATTAATATTTACAAAGCGCCAAAAAGTAGACTTCAAAATTTTGAAATACGTGTTAATCGTTACTTCATATATAGAAGGTTGGAGCGAAAAAAATTAGCCTGAAGGTAAAATTTGTAGATTATAAAAAAAAAGACATTTTTGGAAAAAATACAATTTTTTTTAACATCTAGAGGCAGCCGGGCCTAACTTTTATTTGACCAAAAATAAGACTCTTCACAGATCTAGAACACTTATCAAACATTTTTTTGTCCAAAAAGAATGTTAACTCGGAATTTACTTTAAAAGTAAATGGGCCGCCCCTAGATGTTAATAATATTTTTTTTTTTCAAAAATTTTCGTTTTTTATAATCTACAAATTTTACCCTCAGGCTAAACAAAAGAGAAAAAAAATTTTTCGCTCCACCCAAATATATGGATATAAATGTCATTATTTTAAATTTATGCATTCAATACCATATTTTTAAGAATAAATAATATATTATAATAATAAAAAATTATTAAAATAGAAAACATTTTTGAAAGTTAAAAAATCAAAAATTTTGAGGTTAAGTAAATTTCCAATAGTCTACAATTACACTTAGTCCTGTCAAGTCTTTAACTTGATTTATTAATCAAAGCGCCTAAAATTAAACTTCAAAATTTTAAAACACATGTTAAACCCATTATTGCATATATTCATGCACTTATTTACATTTTTTGAATACAACACCAGATATTTTGGAAATTCATTTTTTGTATTATATTTCATAAATATAAAAATAATGTATACGAAATCATAAATATAATCATAAAAAAAATTTACTGTATATGGTATATAAAATCCCTTCGCAACATATAAGGATCGTCATCCTCCGTGAGTGGTGATACCACTAAAATACTGCCGCCTTTTATCATGCATTTTTCCCTAGCTCTGACCGCATACGCATTTCTTCAGTGCAAAGTTTCCACTATGGACCAATTGCACGTGAATTTTTATTCTCCTTGCGCTCAGATATACCTACGATTTTGTAGCCAGCATCAAGCTATTTTGCTCTAAAGAGTCAAAAAATGTGTTTAAAATAATAACAAATAAATAACAAGTTACTTTTAAAATTTTTACTTAATATATACATATTTAAAATAGTAATGTTATCATAAAAATATTTCCTTAATTCCAATAATACTCAAAATATAACTTGAAAACGCGCAACATTTTTCATATTTTTTAAATAAAAGGTTAAGTTTCGGATCAATGTATGACGCCTTAAGATATGCTTAACACTATACAGACATTCTTATGAAATCCTTAATCAAAATATCCCAGAAAAATACCATCACCTGTTTGTTCGCTCCATCTATCGGCCGAGAGCTGCAATAATATCTCGCTTATTCAATACGAAGTATGTTTTGCTACTTCAAAGGGAATTTCCTTTGTACAATACAAATATCCCGCCTTAAGTATTTATTAAGGTTGCTGCATTTGCTAAATTTCCCAAAATATAGTTCCCGTGTTTTCTGCTAGTAATATGCATAAGGTTTTCGTTTTACAAATATATATATGTATGTTCAAAAAATTTTTAAAAAGCAATAACCATTTCTAATTTCCTAAAAAAATAATTAACATATTAAATAATCGTAAAAAATATTTTTTTTAATATCGTAATTAGAAAATTGTATATTGTTTGTTGTTTGGGGATATTTTTCACTTTATGCATAAATTAAATTCTAATTTAATAACAAAATATATTTCTTTAAAAAAAATTTTATTGAAAAACACAAACTTTTATTATATTTACATAACCTAAAAAAAATTAAAAGAAATTTAATTAAGAAAAAAATTATAAAATTATAAAGTTTAATTTTAAATTATTGAAATGAACAATTTTTATGTTTAAAAATTTTTTTCAAATTTTAATTTTTTTTTTTTAATTTTCTTATTTTAATCGTTTTTATTTCTCTTTAATTTCAATATTTTTAAATAAAATAAAATAAAAAAATTTTTTTGTGATACTAATACTTTTTTTTTATTTTTTGTAATTTTGCACAAAAAGCAATAAATTAACTTCACATATTACCAAAAAGAATTCTTCATAAATCCATTCATATGTAAAGCATTTTTCAACAATCTTTATTGCATACTTTTCAGCGCCACTTTATTATATGCGTAGTACACTCACATATTCTTATGTGCAAACAGCAACAACCCTAAATTGTGTAAAGCCCCTTGCGCGAATAAGGAAAAAATCAAATGCCACTTATCTAATTCCACATCATTTGACTTTTATTATGGAAACTTTTGCTAACCCAACTCTATGCTTTTTATTATATTTGCAGTTATCCGAGTTGGAACAGCGCGTTGTAGAGGCGGAAGAGCGTGCTGAAGAAGCGGAAGATAAGGTAAGTGAAAAGTGAAGCAGTTACTTTAATGAAATATTTTGACTTAAAAAAAAAATCAGAAATTTTCTTTACACAAAATTTCATCCACCACGTTTTGTCAGCACCTAAAGGTATGCCTCACTATAATTTGTACTTGAAAACAAGCCACTTCAGTACAATCTATTTGTATCAAATACTTAACAATTGTTGTGGCATCAGCGTCTACATGATATTAATCCACTTTAAGGGTGACTATGGATTTCTAAATCTTGCAATATTCTGTACTGAAACCGCAGCAATATAAATCACTTTAAGCATTTGCCGAGTTTTACATAAATTTGTACATATTTTAATACAGTTTTCACTTTCACTCTGGGGGGTAAGCCGCCAAAACAAATACGCAGCCACGTGCCTGAGTGTATGCTACGGATTTGTACCTTGTCATTAGTAAATACTTGTAGCTTTCAAGCGATCACAACAACGTGAAGGGGTTGGAGTGTTTGAAAGAGCATTACATGAAATGTACGAAGCAAATTTCGAAATTGGGTAGCACTAGAAATACATTTTGAGAAAAATAAATCAAAAATTATAGTTTAATATTCGTTACAAATTTAGAATTTTGTTAATAATTAAATTAATTAAAAAATCTGTCAAATTTTCACGTTGACATTAAAATAATTTAAAAATAAAAATAATAAAAAATAAAAAATTTTAAATCCTACTAAAAGAAATTGGAAATTACATATAAATTAAAAAAAATTAAAAATTTACAAAATTTTGTAATTTTTGAATTTGAGCAACAAAAATATTTTTTTATAATTTTCAAAAACTTTTATGAACGAATTAAAAACTAAATAGTAAAAATTTTAAATTTATTTAATAAAAAGTTTCAAAAAAATATTTACAGTCGCTTTATAGATTTATGTAAAAATGTAATATTTATTTAAATATTTTTGAAAATTTGAATTTGAAATGAAACCATTTAATAAATAAAGCAAACTCACAGTGTTTTAAATTTTACATTTTGTAATTATTTAAAAAAAAAGTATTATACTCTGTAGCAACAGGGTGCGAGAGTATAAAAATCAAATTTACCAAATTTTATTCAAGTAAATTTTTTTTCAGAAACATACTAAAACAGAAATCAAATTTTCCATTTTTAAATATTTATATATTTTATAAATAAATATGTACGTATATACATTTTTTTTTTTACTTTTTTAATACTTTTATTTTTATTTTTTTTTATTAAAAGCAAACTGACAGTGTTTTAAATTTTCCATTTTGTAATTATATTTTATATGTATATTTTCTTAATTTTAATTTTCTAATTTTGAATTGGTTTTAGTAAAAAAAAACTCACAATGTTTCTACTACAGCAGAACAGCAGAATATATACAAATTTCACTTTAAAGACGTTTATTGCCATTTTAATTTCTTTTTTTTAAACTAAATTATTACAAATTTTTTAATTTTTAATTCTTTTTATTTATTAAAAATATACGGACTTATACACTACACAAAAAGATTTGCCAAATTGTTCTTTTTTGTTACATCTTGGCGCCATTAAATTAAATTTTTTTTTTGATAATTTTTTTTTTATTTTTTGTGATAATTTTTTTTAAATATATTTTTTTTGATGATTTTTAATTTTGATAATTTTTCTTTAATAATTTTTTTTTACTTAAATGTTTCTTATTAAAGGCGTACAGACTTATTTTTATTACCTCGCTTTAAAATGCAAAATGTTTCTTTGTCTCTGTTTGATCCGTCCTGCCGCCATTTAATTTTCAATTACCTTCTTCTCCACAACTTTGAAGACCTTCCACACAGTTTACTCATCGAAAACTACCCACCAATGTCAGAGTCACTATCATTCACTACCTGCATTACCTAGCAACTACATGCTACTTTAAACCATAATGCGAAATAATGATGAAGTTGCGTTAATAACCCTGCTACCGCACACTTCGCACCCGTTTTGCACCCGCAAGCCAGCAAACAGCGTTGCAACCATAGCAATAACAAACAGCATAGTCATCATTGCCATGAACAACAGCTCTACCTACTGTTCCCCGTTTTGTCATTAAGCAACCGCACGAACAGCAACAACAACAAGAGTAAAATTTACAAGCAACAATCAAAAGCAGAGAAGCTCTTGCTAGCAAACCTGACCAAGGCAGCGTCAGCGCTAGCTTATATTTCCGTTTTCATTTCAACCGTTTTCACTCTCTCTACTTCCTCTTCGTTTTCTCGGCTACACAACGCGGGGCAACAAACAAAAGCAAAAATATTATAAATAACAACAGCATTTTGCATGCCGAAGCGGGCTGGGTTCCCTGCGCTGGGCGAAGCTGTAACACAGTTGTAGAGCTCGTCGCACCTCGCTTCTCTCCTTTCGCTTCGGCGCTATCAGCCCAGCAGCAAACCGGAAATACGCATTAAATGCAAAATGACTGCCTGTATGTGCTTGTGTTTGTGTGTGGGAACGCGCTGCTGTGGAAAGTGACTGCGGAAAGACCTTCCCGGAAGCTTTAAACGGGAGGAGGTGAGGGGTTCTTGTAGCTGGCATTACCAACGCTACGGTTATGCTGCTGCATAATATACAGAGATTTACTGGAGTTTGTTGGCTTAGAGTATTATTTTTGTTGTTGTTGCTATTGTCTTTGTTACTGTTATGACTGTTGCTGTAGCCGTTGTAACCTTGTAATGTCAGCATCCCCCTCTGGAGAACTCAACCAGCCAACCAAGCATAACCACCAACATATCCTTGCCACACACGCCTACCAACCCGCCCCTCGCGTCACAAAATCGTACAAACCATTAGCGACAATGCTCTTTGTTTGCCTGCTAATGCCACAAGCACGCCAGGCAGGTGGGCGGGGTGTATGTGTGCGCAGCGCGTGGAGTAACACATAGACAGTGGCCAACAGTAGCAACAATGCTGCCGTATTAACACGTCCTCAGGGTATTTTTCATTATGCAAACAAACATCGTTTACAGGCGCATCTCATAGCAGCACAACAACAACAAAGAATAGCAACGAAACCATAAACTTTGTGTGTTGTCGTGCTGGCGGTATCTTAAATCATACAAATATGTAGTTATATGTAGATTTATATATATGTAACGGTATATATGTGAGTACTGTTTGCAATGTGCAGTCACAGGAACGGTCATTCACTTATTTATTGGCTGCCCTTCATTTATCATATGCGCCTTATAACGCAGATGGTGACCCAACGCACGCTCTGCCGCACTGCGCTCACTAACCAGCCACGCCGCACTCACAAAAGCACACCTCACTTTCCCTCAAATACTTCCCTCTCTTCCTCAAATACTTCCGAGTTGCTGTTCTATGGGCGCCCACATGCAGCGACCGGCTGACTTATGCCTTCACTCTCTCCCAAACCGATGCGCTCTCTTCCCTCACTAATTTCTTATAGTAACTTCAGCATCCCTGCTGGGTTGTGCAACAAATTGAATTTACCTTATTGCATTCATTAAAGTATTTAAGAATTAAATGCAAATACTCTTGACGCCACAAGGGAATAAACAAAGACAGCATAATCTCTTATTGCCTCGAAGCATTTTGCAATTTACAGTAGTTACGTGAACGCGCCATACTCCCCTCACCTAACGGAAGTAACTGCACATATATACCCTTATCGAGCGCACATTATATGCAGTCAGGTCGCTCACTCACTGTTTAAACACTAATCTCAGTCAGCATGATATGCAGTAAAATGCTCCCCTGAGACTTAGGATAAACAGCATTAAAATGAAGAAAGAATATGCGTATCGAGTGAAAAATTTTTGGAGCGAAAAATAATACTATGAATTATGTAACAGACTGACCTCATAGACATCGATAGAAAAATTGATATATTTATATATTAAATACCAAAAAAAAATACATGGCAATCCAGCATATTTTTTTAAATAGACGGTATAACAATACATAAATAATTGGCGTGACGGGTGTAACAGTTTTGTAGAACGAATATATATTATGAATTTCATTACAGGCAGGCATTAAAACAAGAATATTAAAAAATAGAAAAATTAATAATAAATGGCAACCCTGCTGAATATATATATTTTTTAATTTTGCTACATTATATTCGCATTTCTTGCAAAAATTAAGGTAGCAACGTCTTAAAAAAAATTCAAAAAATTATAATCCATGGCAACACTGCTGAATATTTTGTTAACTTTAGTACGCTAAATTCGCTTTTCTAGCAAACATTTTAGTAGCAAAGTTTAAAAAAAATTTAATAAAATTATAATCCATGGCAACACTGCTAAATATTTTTTTAATTTTCGAACGCTAACAAATCCTTAAAAAAATTACAATCAACAAGCAACTCTGCTGAATATTTTCTTAAGTTTAGTACGCAATATTCGCATTTTTGGTCGAATTATATGTAGCAAAGCTATGAAAAACTCTTAAATTTTATTTCGCTTTTTGAATTCATATGGCAACCCGTTCATAAAAGTGGCTAGAATACTAAAAAAAATTTTAATAATGTTAATCGATTAATAATTTTTCTAATAAAAATAAATAACTATTATTATTACAATCAAATGCAACTTTCTGTATATATGGCAAGCCCAGATTAATTTTTTTTTCTATAAATGGCAAAAAGTTCTTTTGCAAGCTAAAACTAATTATATACATACTGCAGTGAAATAAAAAAATACAATTTACAAAAATACAAAGTATATGGCAGCTCTGCTAAATAATGTCAAAATCCACGAAAAACGGTAAGAAATTTTATTAAAATGAAATTATGGAGTTGCCAAAAGTACATTTATTTTTTATTTTGTTTTAACGCAATTCTTTACAAAGTGATGGTTTTAATAAAATTTTTATATTTATTACATATGATGTTGCCAGAAGTATGTATTTTTAACTTTTATTTTTATGAACTTGTTTTATTTTTTGGTATAAGTGATGGCCGTATTTTAGTTTTTATTTTCATTACTTATGAAGTTGCCAGAAGTATATATTTTTAATT